CTTACGAAGTTTTGTTATAGCATCTATAACAGCCTCGGGTTTAGGTGGACAACCCGGCAAATACACATCGACAGGAATTAAYTTATCCACTCCCCGAACAGTACTATAAGAATCGGTACTGAACATCCCTCCTGTAATTGTACATGCTCCTAATTAGAAAAATATTAATAAACCTATGTGTTTAGGAGAATATTTATCTGACTTTGACTTTTTTCTATTGGCCTTCTCATTTGTTAATTATACCAATGAAGTTAAAAGGCTTATTAGTCTAAAAAGACTATGGTGAATTGGAACCGAATGAATTCAAACTTTAAAATAAAGTTTTTTAGATTTTTAATTCTTAGAACAATATTGTTAATTCTTCCGATTTTGAATTCGAAACTTTAAAATACAATATTACATTAAAAAAAATAAAACCTTTGATAAATATATTGTTCCATATTATAAATTCATTCCATTTTTGTTAAAATTAAAAGGGGTAAAACATAATATATTATGAATTATATAATATTGTAAAATAATAATTATACAAAATTCATAACATATATATTAATAAATAAATTATTAATATTTTAGATTGAACAAAATATTTCAAAAATAAATATATTAATATTAAACAATTTTTTAAATTGAGATTCAATTTACAAATTTTCTACTAAACATATATTCAGAAATACCGAGATACCGAGAGTAAGAATACTTAACTCTATTTTTTATTAAATTTCTTATTTATAGATCACTCGCTAAAACCCACCTGAAAAAATAATTCAATCTAATGAGTATTAATATATATTTTTCTTACTAATTCAAAAAAAATAATATATATATATATATATATATATTTTTTCTCACTTCCTTTTTTTTCTCTTTTTTTTTTCATTAGAGCTGAGTGGAAAGAATTGGGTATATGATTTTCTACTCCAACTCTAAAGTCAAATCCTCATGTGGGTGGAAAGTGACAAGTTTAGCTTAGGGTATAAATTTGAATCCTCAATCTTGGGCGTGGTTACCGGCCGGCCCTTTGGCTGTGACATTTGGGAGCAAAAATAGCCTAATTTTCAATTTTTCTTTTGCAACTTTTTTTGGTTGACATGTTTCTTGCGCAAGTCTTACCCCTAAAAAGCATGTACTTTAATTTTGATTTTTGTAATTTTTTAAATTTTTATTCATTTTAGGTGTCTACTTTTAAAATATTTGTTTTGATCTCTGCCTCTTTTAAAAGTGACTAATATGTTGTTTTTTTTTAATTTAATACATTATAAATTCCTTAATATAAATTTATGGCTACATTTYATGAAATTTGGTAATCATGATATAAAAATCAAAACGAAAAAATCAAAATGGTCAATGTTTTATAGTATGGAGACCAAAATGAACGTTTTGAAAATATATAGACCAAAATGAACCAGAATCGAAGGTAAAGTGAGTATTTAAATCATTAATTTTGTTGCCTAACATGATTCATTAGATACTCATGTCGAACACCATATTCACTTATTTATATAATATAATTTTCTTTAAAAACAACTAACAAATTGTCCTCTACAGGTAGTAGGTTTGAACTTCCCTCAGTTTTAAAAAAAATAAAACTTCCATAATTGTTGAACTATAAAAATAAAATAACTAACAAACTTATAACTCCAAAAATTTAAATTGTGCATGTTTATGCAAAGATGTGCACAACAGTGTGTTCCTGATTGTAGCTCAAACTCGGCCTCCGGACCGACATGAACACTCGGGCGGACCTGCACAAAAAGGTGAGCACTCCGACGATCAAGTCAGTATAGGTCGGATTCCAAGTTTAGTTCGAAGCCGGAAATCATCGTACCTGATCGGGGAGTGAGGTCCTCT